TGTGTGTGTGTGGTGTGTATATATATATATATATATATATATATATATATATATATATATATATATATATATATATATATATATATATATATATGCACACCATACACACACATACACACATACGTACATACATACATGAGAAGAAGGCGTAATGTTATAAATGTTCCACGCAGATGAATGCTAGCGTCGAACGTATGCACTTCTGTGGCAAGGGAACGAGTAAGCTAAGTTTTTTGTAGTTTGTAATATACATCGACTGTAGAACTATTGCTTCAATTAGTGCTCCGACGAACTGATTTCTTTTTTTTTTTTTCTTTTTCGATGGACGTTTTCAGGCTTATACTTCATTCGGCTTGTGCTTGACACTAAGGAGAATGCAATAGAGATGAGAGTCACCGACGAACTATTTCTTACACTGCCTATATCATATACGTTATGGCTAGTAGTAATATTGAATTCATTAGTGATCATAATCATGTGAATGTATCTTTCGGTCCAACCTTTCTCTCTCTTTCTCAGTTTCCTTTATATTTTTTGTACCTGTGATAAACTAATCGAGGTCCCACCCTTTCTTTACGTTTCTTCTCTTTGTCAAAAGGAACTGTTATGCTCAACAGAAACGGTAATGGTTTGTACGGATGAGCTTTAGTCGTCGTCACAGAGTTTATTCGCAAGGGAATGTATTAAGAGACACAAAAAATTTTTAATGTGTTTTATATAATGTGTATTATAGTAATCTTACGTCTATTTATATATACATGTATTTATTTCTAATTTTTTTCCGTGTAAAATTACTCTCCTAAAGAATCGAGACCAACGTACTGATTCACTAATACAAAATTTTAATATTGCTTTATACATTGATATTGATATAAGATTGAAAATGAAAATAAAAATAATTACCAAACTAAATTGTTTCTCTTAGTTTGAGCAACTGATTATAAACATCGCCCCAAACATTGCTGTTGATATCGTACTTTATCGCTACACTACATTAATGTATACTACCATTGGCTTTTTATAATTTGTATTTATTATAAATACATTATAGTACATATCTTTCGTTGGCATTTACCGTTATATTATATATTAAGGTAACTGCGATACAACACAGTTACGTTATTATCATGTTCAATGTCATGTGTTGTGGCCGCAGCCGTGTGCTAGTGATAACAGAGACTTCGGGAAAATTAATAAGTAAATGTGTTTGACTTATTTATTAGCTCGCACTCTCCATTATTTCTTGCGTTCGGAAGCAGTCGCTTACAATTTTCCACTTGTCACCCACAGCCGTGATTAGAAAAGTTTGATTAAACGATTTGATATTTTTCTCCTCGTACTTCACTTGTCCACCGACCTTGATCAGGAATGTCAACTGAGTGGCTGCTTCTAGGCCTATATTTAACAGCACATTATGCTATTATATCTTAATGCAAATAATCTATCCTCGGGAAAAAATAATTATATATATGAATTTTGTCTTTATATGACATACACATACACGAGATATATTATCATATGTAATTATATATATCCATATTGAAAAAATGTTGCACACTTGAGAACGAAATAATTTGAACACTTTTTCTCCAATGAAGTTACAGCACTTTGAGTTGCCAGAATAGCTAAAAATTGCTAACGGATTTGGACAGTGATTAGTTATCTCTTATTACTGACCAATTACTGCGCCAATCCGTTAGCAGTTCGCAATTATGACGATTCAAAGTGTTGCAACTTCATTGAAAAAGTGTTCAAATTGTTTCGTTCTCGAGTGTGTAAATGTAATCGAAGTAATTGCTTGTTTCCAGTGTTTCATGTTGTCAACGTTTAATGGAATAAAAATATTTCTTTCTTTCTTTATTCAACATTTTCTTCGTGTGGATATATATATATATATATATATATATATATATATATATATATATATATATATATATATATATATATATATATATATATATATATATATATATATATATATATATATATATATATATATATATATATATATATATATATATATATATATATATATATATATATATATATATATATATATATATATATATATATATATATATATATATATATATATATATATATATATATATATATATATATATATATATATATATATATATATATATATATATATATATATATATATATATATATATATATATATATATATATATATATATATATATATATATATATATATATATATATATATATATATATATATATATATATATATATATATATATATATATATATATATATATATATATATATATATATATATATATATATATATATATATATATATATATATATATATATATATATATATATATATATATATATATATATATATATATATATATATATATATATATATATATATATATATATATATATATATATATATATATATATATATATATATATATATATATATATATATATATATATATATATATATATATATATATATATATATATATATATATATATATATATATATATATATATATATATATATATATATATATATATATATATATATATATATATATATATATATATATATATATATATATATATATATATATATATATATATATATATATATATATATATATATATATATATATATATATATATATATATATATATATATATATATATATATATATATATATATATATATATATATATATATATATATATATATATATATATATATATATATATATATATATATATATATATAATTATATCGATGTCTTACGCAAAGTATTCCACACTTTTTGTACATGACAGATCAAATTGAACACAAAATTCCCATATCATATTGCAAATTAAAATTTTGAGTTATTGAAGAAGATTGGAGAATGATCACGTGCGATACGACAGATGAGTTTTGATGCGTGTTTGTAGATTATGTCAAACTGAGCAAAAAGTACTTTACCTTATTTTACAAATAACTATATATAGATTTCCAGTTATTAATTAAAGAATACATTGCTGCATTATCGCGCGTAATTACTTGCTAATCTCCTCTAATTAAGAACAAAATTTTACATGGTTGTTTGTGAAATGGTAGGGGAATTTTGTATTCAATTTGGCCTAATCTACATGTACACGATGTATGAGACACTTTGCATCACAAATATCTTGTATGTGACCGTATAGAGACAAAATTCTTATAATATAATTATAATTACAAATAATTATATAAAACGTATATATGATATATAATCTTTTATATAATTATATACAATTATTTTTTCTGAGTCTATAGCTTCTTATACTATATAAACGGCAAGTTAAATTTAGCAAACTTTCGATACCATATACTATCAGAAATTAGAAATGAAGTAGTGAAATGAAAATGTAGACATTGCAACTTGATGTACAAGAGTGAGTATTGAAATGGAAAAATATGAAATGAGAGAAAATTGTGATGCAATTAATTTAATTGAGATGTGGAAATGCAAGAAAGTTTCATCAAAATCCGAGTTGTGAAAAAAAAATCAAGATACAAAAACAAAGTGCAACAGATCTGATATTTTCGAATACTTTTACCCGTCGTAAGTAAAACTACGTTTTACTCTAATATTTTTATAATTGAGAATGCAAGAGTGTGGTGTGGACATTAGCACCTGTAATTGGCTGCGCGTCAAGAGTAAGAATGTTGTGCGCAGATGTTGGCAGATCTGTCCAGAATTTTTGTATATTGTCCTTGCCTTCCACACCATTCCCATTCCATATCAAATTCGCGGTATCCATGTACATTCGCGAGAGCAGCTGAAATCACACATGCAGTCAAACACATGCAAAATAATACGTCAGTTGAGTGAAAAAGAAGATATTGGTTTGACAATATTATTGTTACGTACATATCTCCGCTTGTCTAGATTCTCGTAATACAGTTTGGTGAATTCCTCAGCAGTTCTACACGCTTGGTCGATTTTAGATTTTAAGTCCTGCGAAAGTGAAATAGACATAAGGAGTATGGTATAGTCAAATGTAATCAAATGTTCAAAACATTATAAGGCATTAGTACATTCGTCACTTCCAGAAGTTCTAACTTTATAAAAATATATTTGTGTCGGAAGAATGATCAACAATTTATTTATTGTGTGCAACTGTTAGTACTTTATTAATATTACATGACATTATTAATGTACTAATATATGGCAACATATAGATAAACAAGATATCAATTATACCTGCACATAATCATGCATATAGAATGTGGAATATGCAATATTTTAACATTTTTGTAGAGATTTTTAATTTAACAAACTTTGAAATTTGATCGTGTTATATGGTGACATGTATCAACCATAATTAACTGTAATTCATTAATTCACTATCAAGCACATACTTGTTCCATATTTTTGTGTTATTTTTCTTTCTTCTTTTAAAAATTTAAGTTTGTTTTTCGTCCTTCCTCCAGGACGTGAGGGACATATAGTATCCCAAAATTTATTATTATTGTTACTCGTTATATTCTTTCATTTGATTTTTGCGAAACTTAACCCGTGACAGAGCACCGGACATCACCAAAACAAAAAATAGAAGGTTCCTTCCTTCCTTCCTTCAATATTTGGCTACAGGCCTTTATAAGAGTAATGCCCCAACGCCAGTTTCAAAATAGAAGGTTAAGTTCGAATTGCATATGTAGTCTGTACTTTTTTTGCTGTACTCTCTACATTGGTTACATTCGTTCTTTTTTTTTTTATCAAGTCTCACCATAGAAAAAAAAATATATATATATTGAGAGAGAAGCTATGTATGTGTTCTACCTAAAGCAAGACGACAGTCACAATTTTAAGAGAAGTTTGTCTTTGTCGTAACGTAAAGGCTTGTCTGCAATAAAAGTCGTACAGTGGTGATGCGGTTGCAGTCTTTAATACACGTATACATAAGCCGGTATTATAGTCCGATCTAAATTTAAAGCCAGCGGCACACGGTGCTTGTTTTCGTGCTGGATTGCTTGCTGGATGGAAATACTCTGTTTTGATTGGTGCATTTCTATCCATCTTCAGAAATGCACCCATTAGAACAGAGATTTCTTTGTGCGTTGAATTAAGTTTAAGTTTACGTACAGGTATAGCCATTGTATTGTCATACTTAACGTAACGTAACATGTTACGGATATGCTTGTGCGTTGGGTCTAAGATCATCTTAAGTACTATTTTAAAATGTCATGAACCAATCACAGAGCCGTATTCGCATCTTAAGACATTACTTAAAATTAGAGATGGGCGATGTTTAGAAAACATCGATGTTCGCTCATTGAGGATAGTATTACATGTAAAGAGTTGTGCACCGATTGACTGTCGGATAGAGAATTTCTAGAGACCCTAACATTTTCTCTACATGTCCCGCCGCCACCTAGTATGCCCTCCTCCTTCTATGGTGGATCCCCCATAGCGCATTGCGTCCAAGCACCCGGGGGCTGCCAAAAAATTGGTGTCGACCCCGGGGCTTATTTGTATTATTTGCACCGGATGAGGAGGGGCAACGGTGGAGACGGGCATACATGGACAGCAGGTCTTAAAGGATAGCAACCTTTGACTTTGAGAGACTGACAGCTGTACCATTTGGTACAGTAACATTGGGCGCATTCAGTAGAAAAAGCGCTCAGTGAGCAATCAACGATTATTGGTTCTTGCTATTAGATCCCTAAATCTAGACCAATTACATTTTAGACAATTATGTTTTTCTATATATCAGCTTTAAGCCCATTCTACAATTGCGTAAGCGTAGTCGTGATCGTAAGAGTCAACCAATCCGAATGTTTTATTTACTGATTGCTTTATTCTGATTGGTTGTCGTAATCACATACAACCACTTACAACCGCGTTCACGCAATTGTAGAATGGGCTTTAGAGACGCTGTACACGAATTGACATACAACAGTAACGTAAGACATACCGTAAAAATGGACCAATTACAATCGAGTATTCACAAAAATGGCGACTTTACGGTTCGACAATATTCAAAGTGATTGGTTAATTCTTATGGTCTTACGTTACTGTTATTCGTGTGCAGCGCCCCTTAGGGTTTGCACTCTTAAAGTGCGGGTCCAATAGCCCGTAAACATATCCGTAACTATAAACAAAATCGAGTCGTGATTGGTCGTGATATATATCACGGACCATTGGAGCCGCACCTTTAAGGTGCCAATTCATGGGAGCGTTCCAACGTCGAGCGTTAAAGCGTTAGCCAATCAACGTATCAGGTCCCAGAAATATACTTGTAGTTCTTGCGGAAAGTGGTACGTAGATTGACTACCGCTTTAACGCTCGACGCTCGATGCTCCCATGTAAAGGTACCTTTAGAGCCTCCGCACAAAAACATCCGTAACATGTTAAGTTTACGGATTTCTTTGTGCGTTGATTTAAGTTTTAGTTTACATACAGGTACAGGCTATTTTATTGTCAATATCTAACGTAACGTAACATGTAGAGTGCAAACCCATGCAGCGGAATAGCGGAGCGCGGAACGAAAGCGGAACCCAGGTGCATTCTAATACTAAAAGTGCTATAGTATATGTAACATATACTATAGTGTTTCTAGTAATAGAATGCACCCGGGTAGGGAATTTGAACGCACCCATAGGTGTAATAAGTTTTAAGCCTTAAGAAATTGACCAATCACCAATAGAATGATGTTTGTGTCGACTTGTGTCTCTTGTTGAAAAGCAATCCAAGATCCTAACTAGGGATGCGTTCGGATTCTTCACTCGAGTGCACTAAAATACTAGAAGTACTATAGTATATGTCACATGTTTTGTAGTACTTTTTCACCCGGGTGGAGAATCGGTATGCAGCATAGAGAATCTTTAATCAGATTTTAATGGTAATCGAAAATTTTTTATCAGCACAAATTCTAGTTGGCTTCTGCTTTTCTGTTTTCCGCTTTTCTACCAAGGTATAAATCTTCCTTTAGTCTCCAACCCCCTGCGGGTTCCGATTTCCTGTTATTGGCTAGACTGCGTCAACTGTCAAAGACAGCTGTAGGTCACGGAGCATGGATATCAAAGAGACGCGACGCGTGCGACCCGAAAGTAGCTAAGTGGAGACTAAAAAGAGATCACGCCATGAGCATAACGGGGCGTTCAGCAGTCAACCAACGACTCGACCATTAAATTCGCACGATCCTTTGGATCCAGCCATTAACGGTAGATTCCTCCTCGAAGCTCTCGCGATCAAAACAACTCGCACGCCAGATTGGCGACCGTATACCCTCGCGTCTATCAGCTTCCGATCTCACAGCACTCCATACTCCACGACGAGATCGCGAGATCTCGCTGGCCCGGTCACGTGACACCGTACTTCCACAGTTATTTTTTCAGGCATGATGGCGCCAAACGCCAGTATCTACTTTTATGTAAATATATTATTGATTTGGTGCGTACCGCGATCAAGCACGAGCGTTCGCCGTATCGCGGCCGGCCGTCGTAAGTAGCCCCGTCGCGGGGTAGCGCGCGGACCGCCGGCGGAGTGAGTAACGGACTGGCCTACGCCGCCCGCCTGGAATCGCTAATGAGGACATGTTGGTTAGGCTGCCGTGACACAGAGAGAGAGAGGAGGCCGTTACGCACTTGCTCGCAGCAGCCCGTCGGCGTGTTCGCGGCGGCTCGGGAGCGCGCACGGCGACCGCCGGCGGCCCCGCGGCCGGTTTCACGCCCGCACGCGATCACGTGCCGCCTCGCGCGCGGAAATATATCCGGCTAATAGATCAATAATAAGGTATTTAATGGTCTTCCCGTGTGTGTGTGTGTGCGGGGGAGACTTGTGGTGGAGTGCTTGCGACGCTGCTGCCATCTGTATTGTCAATGTTGTGGGGCAGCAGCAGCACCAGCAGCAGCAGCAGGATCACCAGCAGCAGCAGCACCAACAGCATCAGCAGCAGCGTAATGGAGTGAGCATTCTCGCGTTGGATTTACGAAGCGCGCCCTCGTGCCACACGGGATCTCACGTTTACCATGAGACTGAGCGCCGTGCGCGGCCCGCTCGACCGTCGACACGTGCAGTGAGTGTGATTAGCGCCCTACGCCGTCGTACGCAGCGATCGCGATCGCGGCGGGCGCCCTGTCCTCCGCATCAATGTTTACATGAAACGCACAGTGACGACGGCGAGCGTTTACGGGCATCGCCGGAGCGCGACGGCGAGCAGGCGTCGTCGTGCGCGCGGGCTCAACGTTGAATGGCGCGTTCCTTCACCACCGCCGGTGTTGCGCTACGCCGCGTGCTTGTAAACGTCTCTCGGCCGTCGCCCCCGCGGCGTACCGCCGGGAACCGACACGCGCATCCACCCGCGGACTAGCTGCTGCTTTTTTATAACCTCTTATCACCCTGTGCGCCTCTCGGTCACGGGCATGAAACGCGCGGGGAATCGCGCGCATCCAACCACCGTGGGCATGCACGCGACGTTCGCGCTGATTCCCGTCACGCCGTGTCGCCGTGTCGCCTCGACGGCGATGTTGCGTAGAACGGAACATGTCTCCCTGTGCAACCGTAGGTGTTGATATGACGATCTCGCGCCTCGCACGGCGTGTTGGCTGTGCGCGATCTGTCTCGTCGCTCGTTCCTGGCTATCGCCAATGTTGTTGATCGTGGACCCCCTTCCCCCTCCCTCTTTGTGCACCTGATTCCGATGTTTTACACTCTCGCCGTCGTCGTACTTTCGGATATCGACGGAACGTTCACGCGCAAAGTGCGACATACGCGAACCACTTGCTGCATATTTACTGTTATACCTAACATGCGACCAACTGTGCTCGCTTTTATTTCTCTGCGACTAATTGTCACATTATTTGCGTTACGTACAGTTTATATTGCCTCTCAGTTTGCTCTGTGGTTAGCTACGCTACATCTTTTTCTGAGATGTTGCGCTACTCAAGTACTGTACACACAGCTCTTGTCGTGTTTTTCTTATTTCTGCACGAAATACGCATTATTCTGCACTGATGTTACATCAAGAAGCATTGCGAGTGACCAAAAATAGCAGTTAGAGTTTTATGAAGAACTGTATACTGAGGTTTTTATTGTGAGCGTAGCAGTCTAACCAGTAATGAAGTCAAAAGTTGATGTCATACTTTTTAATCAACCTGATTTGTTCGTGTAAATAATGCTAATTAGCAAGATATATTGAAGAGGTATTGTATAATCGATGAATTCAAGAGGACATTGATACTTAAAGTATAAAGCATTTGTGTATAACATAGTTTTCAAGCAGTACATGTGTATAACATAGTTTTCAAGCAGTACATTTTGGACATTAATGGCAAGAGTTTGTTTATGATAACACAATTTTCAGAAGTTGTTTTTCTTCTTTGTCGAGTACAAAGTAGAATACTTTATACAAAAAAATACATTAAACTTTATTTGGAATATTTTATGTTATTCGACTTTATGAACAAGTTGTACGGATTATCACATAATTTTCTTATGAAGTCTGTTCTTTTTAGCTGAACTAGATTGCACTTTTTGTTTTTAGAATGAAGCAAACATATAGTCCAGTGTTGAAAAGAGAAGGAACAAAATTCAAGCACAGCTTCAGTTCAGCTAAAGAAAACAGTCTTACTGATTCTTACAAGATCCTCGCGAGATCATAATGGTTCCTTTTTCTTTTATGTTTCAGTTCTGAAGAAAATCTGCTTTCCAGATAATAAATATATGGATAACTATGTAGTAAGTTTATCTCTCCTGTTAGAGCTTTGTTTGTGGAACTCACTTTGCAATTACGTGACTGTTATTTCAGTGCGCAATTGTTATTTCAGGGTGCACACAGCTCACCTGCATGTGCCACGTACCACTAGCTCATTTGGTATAGTAGAATGGCACAACGAGGCAAAAGAGTCCACAGAAACGACAATGATCTGGCGTCTTACCCGGGCGCTATCAAGAGGCGCAAGTGCAGACTGGGCCCGGCTGCCACAGGTTCATCGTCACTGGCAGCGACCATGGGGCCCTCAGAAGAGGAAGAAACGATGGCGTCATCCAGCCAAGTGGGGGCATCCTGGACCCCCCGAACCGTCAGTGATATCAAGATCTCCAGCATCTACAATCGGTCGGCTGCTGAGGCACCAGCTGAGTTATTTCGCAAGGACCTGATCAGTGCTATGAAATTGCCAGACAGTGAGCCGTTGAGTCCGAACGAGTATTGGGTTATCACTGATCAGTGGAAGCAGGAGTGGGAAAGAGGTGTTCAAGTACCCGTTAATCCAGATTCTCTTCCTGAGCCGATGGTCACTCTCACACAGACGTCTCCTTTGAAATTACACAGCGAATTCAAATTGTGAGTGTATAACGTACCATCTTGCACTGTGCGTCGAGAATTGTCTGGAATTGCCTGAATGGCGCGGGTCTTCAACGGAATTTCGTTGTGTTTCAGGCCTAAAAAGTTCATAAGAATATCTCGTGATGATTATTTTAGCTCGGAAGACCATCATTTAAGTACTACCCCAGCAAGAGCAGAGAAAGCCTGTGCTTATGACCTTGACGATACTGACATTGCCTGGTTGGATGTATTGAATGGCGAACGAGCACAGGTATAATAGCCTTATGACTGTGAATGAATTTTTATCTTTCAAATGAAACGGTCAGTCGTGCACTGGCGAGCAAGTTAATATCCTGTGCAGAAATGCACTTTAAGAAAGATTTAGCTATAAAAGTATGATAAATTAGTCGTGCATTTTATACGGGAATAGGATACAGTAAAGTGGCGTTAGCATAAGAATATATTTGACAGTTTTGAACTTTTCAATAAGTTATTTATGTAATCGTTTATAAATTATTTGTAGAGCTTATTATATAGCTCTTGTTACTTATTAAGTAATTGTCATTCACTTGCGCGAGTAGCTGCAAATTTAGATAAATCTTACCTGAAAACATACGAAAGGCAACTAGAAAGCTTGTAAGTTAATTAATATTATTTTGTGTGAAAACTATCAAGGCTGGACAATTGCCAATTACGGAATCGCAATTGGAACGTGTCATGGAAGAGTTGGAGGTACGATGTTGGGAAAGGATACAAACGATTGTGAAGAACGAGGAGGGGCTTGGGATTGAGTACGACGAAAATGTCATTTGTGATGTGTGCAGATCGGTGAGTGGCCACTTAATTTCCAAGCAATCACACTTTGAAGAGCAAATAAACTATTATTCGCTTTTTTTATATCATATTAAGTTGCATCTTAATTTAAAGTTCGATTATATCTAATGAAACATTCTCATAACAGCCGGATTCCGAGGAGGGCAATGAGATGGTGTTTTGTGATTGTTGCAACATATGTGTACATCAAGCTTGTTACGGTATTACCTCTATACCTGATGGTTCTTGGTTATGTAGAACTTGTTCGTTAAGTCAAAGACCCGACTGTGTATTATGCCCTAATAAGGGTGGTGCAATGAAGTGTACACGAAGTGGTCAGAAATGGGCTCATGTATCGTGTGCACTTTGGATTCCCGAAGTTAGTATTGGTTGTGTGGAGCGAATGGAGCCAATCACAAAAATATCCAGTATTCCGGTAAATAGTATTCTCATTACATCTTTTACTGTCTCTGTTTTCTATTATCTTGTATTAATTATTACTGTATTAACGATCAGCATTCCTGCTTGCTATTTTAAGAGTCTTGATGTTCTAAATTAATTGGACATCATCTTTTCTGTTGCAATTGTTCTGAACATGGATTGACCGTGTGTAAAACTTAAAATTGCAGCAAAGCCGATGGGCCTTAATTTGCGTTTTATGCCGCGAACGTGTGGGTGCTTGCATTCAGTGCAGCATAAAGACATGCAAGACAGCATATCACGTTACGTGTGCTTTCAAATATGGGCTCGAGATGAAGGCGATTATCGAGGATGAAATGGCAGACGACGGTGTGAAATTAAGGGTGAGCAATTTTACACAAGTGTATACATATTCGTTAACATTATCATATCACGGGTCCACAAGTTAATCCATTAATAATTCTGCTTTTAGTCGTATTGTCAAAAGCACAGTAGGACGAACACAAAAGACAAAGTTGGCGTTGGCGGTAGCGTAGGAAGTGGTGGCGGAAAGGGTGGTTCGGATTCTGAGGATGGCGAGTCCAGACGTCGTAAACGGAAAGACATGACTTCTGAAGAAAAGAATCAAGCACGCGCAGCTAAGTATGTGATTTTGTTAATGTGTCTTTGAGAATTATGGCGAAACTCACGATAATTTTGTTAGAAGATACTCTTGCTCTACCTCATCAAGCATCTAAATTTAATTAAAACATCGTTAAAATACACACGTACACACACAAGTTCTATATTTAGCCAAAAAGCTATATTTCTGGTAGATACATCTACTCTTGTATTATTGAATGGCACATTTTGTGTGGCTTGTGTTTTATGTAAACTTTGCTACATTCTGAAATTGTCTTATATGAAAAATAAGCGTAATTTATATTTAGAGAGAAAATTTATATTTAGAGAG